CTCACCAAACTGAGACCTGTTATTCAACACGATCTAAGAAAAGGAGCTAGCGAAAGTGCGAAATGCCCCTCCAAGTCGAACAGCGCCTGAGCAAATTGTTGAACTGTTGAAAGTGATGACACTGTTCAGTTGCTAGATAATCAATCTATCAGATCAACCTCGCCGAACGGAAGAAAACGAAGGTAATCTTTATTGCAGCGCAGCATAGTTATCTATCAATTTCCATTTACATGCAGCATTTTCAATGTGGGATTTGCACTCTATCAACAAATTTCTCGGCCATCGAGTTCATTTCGAGCCTTTCGTGCACTCAGCGCTTTTCAGTAGGGGACCGGTCAAATGAAACAGTATTGTATCAATAGGTACGTCTTCGCACCATTCACCATCGCGGAGACAGTCGATGCCATAGAGCAACAGGGGTTTCAGGATGATCGATCACTTCTCTCCATTGACGAGCACCGGTTTCGCCTCCCAATGGGCCAATGATGGCATGACCGATTTCATCGTTACTGGATAATAAATCGTAATCCATTACCTGGAAATTTGCGGCAGTGTAAGACGTTACTTTTCTGAAATGTCCAAAAAATAGGATACAGTATGCTTACCGTAACGACAAGGTTGACGTCCTTTTCAAGAACATCCTTGGAGGGGACGGTGAAAGCAAATGATTCGTTGAAGAGGGGCGCTAATGTTTGAGGTTTCACGGAAGTTTTTCGTTTCTCGAGTTTATTTCCCTGTTGTACCAACCATAGTTTCACGTAAGGATCTGAAACTTGGAGCTAACATGAGTACTTTTGAAACTCATAAAAACTGAGCAAATAAGATAGACTGGGGCCTAGGGCCCACTTCCTTTTTCACACTATTTTCGCCAAATGCTCTAGATGACCGGTACCTAAGGCAGCAGCCGTGCTGGGTGTGTGTATATAACATTCAGGGGTCAATACTTACCCTATAAGTGTACGTCGTTACTCCCGAATCGGACGGGGGCACCAAAAGCACATGCCCGCGCGCGCGGCTTCGCACCAGGAGACAATTCGATGCGGCAATGCTGCAGTACGTCAGTCAATTGGCTAGGATTTCCTTTGGTAAGGGATGCCACTACATTCCTTATCGATAAAGCCCATTGTCCAGTGGGTGGCTTTTTGCCCACTGTAGAGGGTGCCTTTTGGGACGGCCACTTACCTTCCTTGACGAAGCGGTCTGGCTTGAAAGCTTTCGTCAAATCATATACACTCATGTGCGGCGCGTGTTCCGGGGCGTGTCAGAGGGCTGGATTTGGAGCGACGCCAACCCATTCTCCACCAATTCTTGAAGCGGGTAAGCGACAACAGCTGTAAAAAACGACTGATCCAAGGCTGTGATACAGCTTTGTCACTTGCCGAAAGAGAAGAAGAAAAAAGCAGGCTCGCGCCGAGCCCAACCCGCCCCTTTGGCACGCCGCGGTTATCAAAAGAGATTTTTATCCAAAAAGATAATCAAATATGAAATATTGGCCGGGAAGGACTGAGAACTCACCCGAACTTCCCATTTTGTCTTTTGCTTTGAGATCTCTTGCTTTTATCACACTAACAGTTATTTTATTTACTTCTGGGAGATAGCACATCGACAACATCAATTCACCGCATAATTCCTGAAAAGCATAGTTCATCTTGTTTCAAACGTCCTCTTTTTTAGGATTGGTATCTAGCCTGAGAATTCCCTTACTCTGGATACTGTAGGGCGTTGTAGATGTTTCCAATAGACCGGGCTATTCTCAAATTTCACGCTCTTCATTGGCAGTAAAACTTCACCGATAGGGTCGTCTGATGAGAAACGGTCAAAGTCCATAACCTGAAACAAAATTGTTGTAATAAAAGAACAGCTCCAAACAAGTGAGCTAAAAAAGTGAGTACTCTGGAGATTAGTCTCAGAAAAGTTAGCTCAATCTCAATACGTGTAAACTCAATGATTGTTTCAGTAGGGCCCATAATAGTACAAACATCGTGCACGTCGTGCACATTGTGCAAGGTTCATGGGAACAGTTTATGAAAATTCTGCACGGGTAGCGCCAAAATCAGGACTCTCTGAAAAAACGACCCTTTCGACCATTGCAGCAATTGGGTCAGTCGAAGCCCATAATTTTGCAAATGTACAAGTGCGTGGGTTTATCCCTTGTGTGGAAATTTGAGCTCCAGTAAGGACACATCGTCCTTGGGGAATCCACGTCGAATGTGGAGGGGTATGTGACTCCTGTGGGAGCCTTAAAGACAGATCGCACACAAACCCCGTGTCCTGGTCCTGGTGTGTGAGAGGAAGTGTTCTGTTCTTGCAGAAGCGTGCCATTTTCTCCGCTCAAAAGTGCAAGGGTACGGGCTTCAGATTAGTGGCACCCTGGAGTCGCATACTCCACCTTGCGCTGCCGCACGGCCAGCAGACCTAGCCCTATCCTAACGCGCTACTTGCCTGCGTCCTCTCACCTCTGGTAGCTCTCTACCGCTGAGTATATGTTCCATCGCGAGACATCGAAACGCAAGTGCTGTACCTGTGAATAGCTCGGGCGAATTACGGAGACGGTACTGATGTCACCCTACGACCCACTTCCCAAGCAGCGAAAAAA